ATGAAAAAATTGACAATTTAACAAAATTTTATTATAAAATTTATTAATTTTTTTATAATACTTTTTAATTTTAAAACAAGCCGTGGGGCAGCGCTGTCTGACAAAAGTCTTAGAGGTGGTCGTGGCAAAGTCTCTACTTAAAGAAAAGGTTAAACTTTCAAATTTGTTCCCTATACTATTGTACAGACTCCAACTTGATCCCTCAGTTTAAAAAATCCCCAATTTGATTCATAAAATTTGAGATTTTGGAGCTTTTACAGTCCCTTTGTTAAATTTTCATTGACATGGCGCACGTTAATTGACAGCAGAAGCATATATTTTCAATAAAATAAAATGTGGAATTTGCAACTGGGCAAAGTACATGAATTGGCAAAAAAAAAATTATCCACATAATTCCTGAACATAATAAAAAGATCATATTACTTTTATCTTAAATCTTTAGATACTTTCATTTTCTATATCTCTCTCCCTCCCTCAATGCCATATTTGGACCAATCAAGAGAACATTTTCCCTACCAATTTCTCTCTTTTGCTTGGAAACTATTCAGAAATTAGAAAAATGAAATGCATACTATTCAATCAAGTTCAGCACAAATACCAAAACCCCATGAAGCATAGAATATAAAACCTTCAAACGCAGTTGATAAAGTCTTCAAGTCAGCCCCAAACCAAGACATGGGAAATGAGGGATTTTGCCTGACTATTTCCAAGATGAAACTTCAGGAAAAGTGAAGAATTGACCCTGTTGAGAAAGTGGAAAGTTCTTAAAGTCATATGTATGAATTTATTGTCATAGAATTAATTGATTGGATAATTATCACATCTTAAATAATTAATATCACAACATTTTAACATAATTTCTTATTATACTTTTATATTACATATTTTCTTAAAATTTTACATTTTTTTTGCTTTTTAATAAATTAAAAAGTATAATAATTAATTAAAAAGTATATGTAATTAATAATTGAAAGTGTGATAAAAACATCACTCATAATTAACATGGGTTAGCAAAATAGGCAAAGAAAAAGAAGGGAACGGGACATAGGGGGAAAAAGAAGCCCCAAATAAGGAAAACGAGTGAAGTATCAATAGCCATTCAATGGCATATTTATCGACAATGCTGGTTTCAGAGAAAGCGGGAGAGGCAAAGAGATTTTTCGTCTCCGTTTCTACGGGAGAAGTTGGAGATGGAAACTCTATTTACATGTAACTACCTTCTCTTTCTTGTGCCATTCCATTTCAGGCTACCTTTAGTTAAGACATCAG